TTTAACCTTTTATTTACTGTACTTTCACCTTCAATAATTGGAAGAAGGTGGAACATTTTACAAAAAGCAGGTACAATCTACAGTTTGAAGCATGGTGGAGACCATGGCTAGGCGCAACTTATCCACTGAAGCTAAAGCTGTTGGCGCGCTGGTATCTTAATTAAAAAAAAAAGTGTTTTTAAAATTGAATTGTATATTAAAAATATAATTATTAAAATATTTTTAGTGAAATTCAAATTATGTTTATTCATTACTGATTATTTATAGAAAATTTAACATGTGAATTACATTTTTAAAATGTAATCAAAGTTAAATACATAAAATTCTATTTTAAAAGTGTAATATAGACTACAATACATTAAACTCTAACTTAATTTAGTCACTTAACTTTTCTTAGGAAAAAAATGTTTTGCCTTATTAAGAAAATACTCGTATCATAATGCATTCAACCCCTTTTATTAAAGCCAAAAGAAACAACTGTCTAATTGTTTTAAAAAGTTTAAAAGAAACAAACAAAAGCACTAAAGGGAAATTGAATTTGTGGCTTGGTTTTCAAAGTTGGGAGATATATAACCACAACAAACAGCAAATGAGGGCCCAAAGGCCCCAAACCCGACGCAAAGGTAAAAGCTTCCATGTGGAATGCATGGCTCCATAGTCCTCTTCAAGGACACTATGGATTGTTTTCTTTTTACTCCCAAAGATGCAGAGGCAGCCACGTATGTTTGACACATATCTCTCCATGTGAGAAAATTCTGCAGTGCAATTGCATGCCAAAAGCTTATTATGTGATATGGGAAACAAGATTTAATGTAACATTTTGAGTTTTAATACTAGAATAATATTTTTTTTTTTACTGAACAAAGCAAATGATGCAACTTATGTAGAAAAGAGAAAATACCACTAAAAACCTCTAATGCAGTATGCTCATTGCACTGAAAGATTTCTCCTATGTGTGCATGTCTCTTGAGGCCAATTGGTCAAGGTGCACAAACTCCAGCCCTATGGCTTGGGTCCTATTCCACACCCCCACCCCCTAAATTTTTCGTGTTGAACAAAAAAAAAAAAAACAAATTCTCCTATATGATGTCAACAAACAAAGCCAAATTCTCACCTACACTTTCTTTAGAAAGAGCACCACCTTACACAAACCAAGGGGTCTTGAGGGCTCAGAAGTAAAGAATCCAAGAGGTGGATAAAACAAGCAGTGGCCCGGCCTAGAGGGCCTTCGATTAAATTTTGACCCCAAAAGGCGAAAAGACAGAGGGCCCCTTGATAGAGTAATAAAAGCAAACGTCTCTCTTCTCAATTTTGCGCATCTCCTTCATCTCAAAGCGGCTACAACCATATCAAGCCCCTCTTTCTTTCCCCCTCCCAGCATTTCTTCTTCATGGCATCCAAGGATTGCACACACTTTAAGCAATCTTCCAAGAAGAAGAGATCAATGAAGTCGACAGAATCGATGACTGTTGATAAGGGAAAAGCCTACAGGCACCCAACATACAGGGGAGTAAGGATGCGCAGCTGGGGCAAATGGGTGTCAGAAATACGCGAGCCGAGGAAGAATTCAAGAATTTGGCTTGGAACATACCCTAATGCGGAAATGGCAGCTCGTGCGCATGATGTTGCTTCTATGGCAATTAAAGGTCGCTCTCCCTACTTAAATTTTCCAGAATTGGCTCACACTCTTCCTCGTCCAGCTAGTGCCTCGCGCAAGGACATCCAGGAGGCAGCTAATAAAGCGGCGTGTCAATATGTAAGATTCGAACCTAAAACCCTTTTAGAACAGAATGAAACCATGGATCCTCACTCTCCAAGTATCACCATGACCTCAAATGAAACTCAAGATTCCCCATCTTGTCAATCTGTAGAGAGTGACAGCATGTGGTTTGACCTCCCTGATCTCTCTCTAGAATCCAACTCAAATCAAAGGTTTGGTAATAGTTTTTGGTGGCAACAAAATGGAGTCGACTCTGAATTCCATTTCGAGGAAACATCTTGCTGCTGGGATCATTACTAAGGGCTTTGATTATTCATTTCCGCACAAGAATAAGATCATGGTGACCATGCCTTTGATATGTAAATGTATAATTTCTGCATATCTTGGAATATAATATGGAAAATGTTAATGTTCCTAGCTTTCTTTTCTCCTATGACTCACTTTCATGCATTCCAATGCGTTTGGGCATCTGGGTCTACTTGTATTTTTTGCCCCATGTTGCTGGGTTTGATGATTTCATGGGAATCTTCCAAAAAGAAAATCTCATGATTGAGAGACAGAGAGGTAGCAAATCAGAGAATCTATATGCTATTCAAAAAGTTCTTTATTGACTGTGTGATTAAGTTCTTTGATTACTCTAATCACAGGCTGTATTGGTTTTTAAATCCTTTGTAGTTTGTACAATATCACTTTCAATCCCTTGAATCACTATCATCATGATGAAACAAATGAAAAGTAATGGGTCATGACTTTATCAGTTAAAGCAGGATCATCCCTCATTCTTGGATGTTAAAGCTTAATTATGTATGCATATAATTCAGTATTTGCAGGCAAGAGGGCCCACCATTATATTCAAGAGATCTACCTCATCTAATAATTAATGTTTTGCTGTTTAATATGTAGGCAAAACCCTTAAATCTACCTCTCAAATAAATGGGTAAGGATAAATTTGTCCTTCAAAAAAATATAAGGATAAATTGTTCCTCTAAATTATAAATTGAAATAAATCACTCATTTTTTAACGTTTGACATTAGAATTGTATTTGTCACATAAGCATTTTTAATAAAAAGTTAATGTCACGTGTTAAAAAATGAAAATTTTGTCTCGATTTATAATTTAAAGTAGCAATTTGTTTTTGCATATTTTTTTTGGATGGATTTCTTCTTGCCCTTATTTGAGGAATGGATTTGGGGGTTCTATCTAATGTATAATTTATACCAGAATAGCTCATAA